ACATCATGCTCAGTGTATAAGGTGGGAGGAAGAAGGAGGAAGGGGGAACATCTGGAGTGATGTGTTTGTCTTCCCAAGGAACCGTTACGCGTGATGGGCCCTGCTCTCCTGGAGATGCTGAACACCTCCTGTCTGTGGGAAGCAGTGAATTCATTCCTTGTTTTGCTTTGCTTGTGTGTGCAGCTTTTGCTTTCTCTATTAAACTGTCTTTATCTCAACCCATGAGTTTTTGTAGCTTTTACCCTTCTGATTCTCTCCCCCATCCCGTTGGTGGGGCAGTGAGTGAGAGGCTGTTGGTTCTTGGCTGCTGCTGGGGTTAAACCACGACAGTAGCCCTCTCCTTAGAGCATATCAACTTTCCTAGTGCTTCCAAAATTACACCCTTCAACTCTCTTGTTTGTGATGCTTGCCCTATCAGCATGGAAAGAAAGCAAAACGATCAGGGGTGGTCAGGAATTCTTAGGTTAATAAAGAAAATTAAAACTGGTGGCTATTCCTAACACAGTCCTTCTGTCACAGTAGGAGATGGCAATTTCATCTATTCCCAAGCTGATGAGAGCCAGAAAGGCAAAGTTGCTCGACTGCTGAGCCCAGTGATCTACTCACAGAACTCTGCCCACTGCATGACTTTCTGGTACCACATGTCTGGCGCACACGTTGGCACCCTGAAGATCAAGCTGAGGTACCAAAAGCCTGATGAATATGATCAGGTGCTGTGGACCCTGAGTGGGCACCAGGCAAACTACTGGAAGGAAGGACGTGTTCTTCTTCACAAGTCTGTGAAACACTATCAGGTGAGCTTGGCTGAGCTAGCAGAGCCAAGGCCAGCAACACTTTGCTGGTCATGTTGTATACATCGTAGTAAAAGGTGTCACTGAAGGATTTATGGAGACAGTATTACACCTACAGATGAGGTGTGCTTGCTGTGACTAATAACAGTGACATATTTCATGGTATCTCAGATTACAGTAATACAGGCAATTTGTTACCAAAGGGAAATCAATACCTTAGAAATCATTTCTCTTCAGTCACAAAACTGCATCTTTGTGAGAGTTTTGCTGATGTAAAAGTCTTTAATGAAGTTACAACACGATCTAAATTTACATATAAGTAAATGTATAAGTTCATAAAGGCAGGCAACATAGGTGTTCAGGCCACAAAGTGCACGCAGATGTGACATGATAGCAAGTGAAGATGAGTGTTAACAACTAGGTCAGAAATCCTGAATGCTGCATTGTGTGCTAGCATGAAAACAATGTGAACATTATCTTGTTTTGCCAGGTGGTTATTGAGGGAGAAATTGGAAAAGGAACAGGAGGAATTGCTGTGGATGATATTAAAATTGACAATCATGTAGCACAAGAGGATTGCAGAAGTAAGTATGAAATGCAAGAACAGAGAATTCTCATCCAAAGCATTATTTATTTTGTTTTGATGGCTGGTTTTTATCTGTGAGAAATAGATAATTATTGTCTATATAGGAAGTTTTGCACTGAAAACATCCTGATTTGGCCCATAGCTTTATTCATAGTAAGTGCCACTGGTGTCACTTTGGTACAGCAGCAACTGCAGTCTTTTGGATTAGAACTGGCATCCTACTGGCATGGGTCACAGCATGTTCACATTCTCATGCCTCTCCCTGTATTTCATGCTGCTGCCCTTTTTAAATTTCCTTGCTTTCCCTGATGCTTTTCCCTGTTTTAACTAATGCTCGAAATTCGATTTTATTTCTTCACCCTTTTTAGATCATTTACTACAAAGCTGACTTGAAATCTATTTTAAAGGACTATATCAAACCCTTACTGGATAAACAGTGTTAAACAGCCCCTGCTCTGTCCTCTGCTATCTTGTAATTCTCAGTTTGCTGTGCTTCATTTGGTAATAGCCACCAGCTCCCAGACATCTGGGACACAAAGCAATGTTAGAACATGGCCTTTCCCACACCTGAGCCAGGCTATTCCTGAGATACTTTTTGGATCCTTTTATTTCTGACCAGTTTTGAGTTATTCCAGTCACTGCTGATCATATGCACATTGCATAATGCACGTAATTTGGCAGCAGCAGCTCCAGATAAACACAAGCAACTGAATGCTGCCCTTCATAATGGAGATGAAGCAATTACATTTATGTAAAAGAGGGAATAGAAATGAGAACCCTTAGCATTAGGAAGATAAACTTATGCCATGTGAGTTGGCAACACAAATGAGAGCAATAACAGAGGGTGTTCCTTACCTTCTGTAGCTAACATCCTTTTGAGGGTAATATGACAGTTTCCAGCTATGTGAAAATTTCACTGTGATGAGAAAACTGTACAATCTCTTTCTATCACACTGTCCAACCTCTGGGGTTCATCAAATGCCACCAGAGTGACAGCAGGAAAAGAGAGGCTAGACACCCTGCTTGGTCCTCCTGCAGTGTCCTCAGTGCTAAGAAGGGTGCTGGGACCACAGTGATTGTATTTACCTGACTCCAAAATGAGAAAGGAAAGTAATTTCTTTCTTACCTCCACATGTTTTGGTTGTTCAAACCAAATGTTGAGCAAAGATTTCTAGCCTGAGGGAGCTAAATCCAAAAACTCAGTCTGAAACCCAAACACAAGTGGTCTCACTGCAGTCAGTGAAACTATTCTTGTGATTAACTATGCCTCTGCTGATGAAGTGTTATGGAATTGGGCTCCAAAATTGTAAATACAGTGAATGAGATGCTAATTCACACTGATTTCTCTTTCCCAGTCATGGAAAACCCCTGCTGATAACTAAAACTGTGCCAAGACTGGGCGGAGAGGATTTTTCAATCTTTTTTTTTCTCCATTAATTTTTCAGAGCCTATTATAATGAACAGCTCTGTCAAGCTGCCATAATGATGCTCTGACACAGGAAAATCTGCTATACCATTATTGCCAGCATGATAGTCAATCAGTGTTTGTAACCCTAATAATCAATGTCAATTCTTTTGCTTCATTAGAATCAACTGATGTGGAGAACGAAATAGATGAAGAAGACGACCCAGAAAGTAATCAAACAGGTAAAAAATAGGATTCTTTTTTAAAGGGAATCCATTTTAACATGTATTTTAATATGAATTTGAGCATTCTGTATATTTACAGATTTGTTCTCTAACTGTATATTGTGTTAAGGAGTTTTGATTTATCTAGATCAGACACTAAGAAGGTTTACATTTATTTGAAATATGCAATTGTTCTAGTTTTCTATGTCTTACAATCTCACGGTGTTTTTATTATATATACCTATCTCAAACTTTTCAAATTTTAGATACATGATTTGTTACATTATATATATATATATATGTATGCACACTATAGCTCCTCAATATTATTGAGAAAGCACTATCATTATATCTTAAAATTTATGTCTCACACCATGCCTTGGTAATTAAGCTCAAAACACTTCAGCCTGATTGTTTCATGGACCTGGCTGAAAATGTCATTTTATGACCAGTCTACCAAAGCATTATCATTTTCAATGATGATAGCTGTAAATGGATCATTAAACGGATCATAATTGTCATATTGTCCCAATAATAAAATATACTTGCATTTTTCAGGCAATGAGCTTAATTTTTTTTTCTGTTACAGTCAACAGGTTTGCTGTAATTGATTTCAGTGAAAGAGAGTTTGTCCAAAAAGACTTTTTGACTTTGCCTGCAACACTTACAGGGTTTGCTGCTATTGGATCTCTTTCTTAAACTGAAAGTGTTGTGGCAAAAACATTATGATACCCAATGAATATTTTACACAAGGGGACAGAGTGCTCTTCTGTGTCAGTTCTGTCACTATTTCCACTTCAAGATCCAATCCTAACGTCATTGAAGTGGAAAAGATCCAAAATGGCTGGACATTCCCAACCAATGTCTTAGGCTATAAACTCCCACACTGAGCTGAATAGAAATTAATTAACATTGTAGAGGTAAATACTGCAACCTGACAAAATTTAATCAAAAGGCCTGGTTATTCACTCCCAAGACTTCCACTGAATCCTGGGCAGGACCAGATCCCTACTAACGGGCAGCAGATTCAAAGATTGGAGAACAGTCTAAAAAGAATTAACAACTTTCTGGGCCACGTTATAGTTTTCAGCTCTTTATGACTACCTCCAAGAAGCTGGGTTTCAAAATTGTGTAGAAACTTATGTCCAAGAAAATTGATGTTCTTTCTCAAAACTTTCAGCTCATCAAACAAACTTCTAACTAGGATCAGTTTTGAAAATTTTGCAATTCTTTACTCCATTTCAGGGTTTACTCCTCCGTACCGTTCAGGTGAGGACTATGATGACAACATCTCCAGGAAACCAGGCAATGTCCTGAAGACCTTAGATCCAATCCTTATTACCATCATAGCCATGAGTGCACTCGGAGTGCTTTTAGGAGCCATCTGTGGAGTTGTCCTGTACTGTGCCTGTTGGCACAATGGGATGTCAGAGAGGAACTTGTCTGCACTGGAGAATTACAATTTTGAACTGGTCGATGGTGTAAAACTGAAAAAAGATAAACTAAACGCACAGAATTCATACTCAGAAGCATGAAGGTGTAAAGCGACCGGAGACGTTTCAGAGCATCGGGATGGAAGGACATAGCTTGGTCTTGCTGGGGAACTGTTGATCTTTTACTGTACAGGCTGAAAAGTGCATTGATGACACTGAGCCAAGCTTTTCTCAGGAGCTTCAATGAGTGTGTAACCGATGAACATGGACAACAATCTGTGTTAACAACCTGAATCATGTACAGTCTGCTTTTTCTGTTGGTTTTCTTTGAAATAATCGAATGCTGGTGTTGAGACCAAGTATGATTGACTTATAGTTCATTTTGTCTTTCTTTCTCTCCCTCTCTTTTCTTTTCCGTTAATGGATAATTTTGGTTTTACTGTGCAAAATCCAAGATGCTGTCACAAAATGTATTCAGTGGGGTCCTTTGGATGGACATGCTGTCTGTAGCTCAGTGCCCAGAAAATATTGGAGTAACAGCAATTTAGTGGACTCCTGCACCTGTATTTGTGTATAATTGCTCGTGTTGTGCATAGGCAAAGAAGGGTTAGGATGTTTTTGAAAGTACTGCTGCATCAGTACCGATATATTGTGTCAGCTCTGTTTACGAAGCAATACAGTCAAATTTTATTGATGTTTTTCAGTGTTGTACTAAATTTTGTGCTTGTGAACTCCCTAAAAGAGTATGTGCCATCATCAGACACAACTGGTAACCAAGTGTACTGCCTAAAAACTAAACAAAAAAAGTCCTTGGCACTGGCTAGTGTATGTCCTCTCAAGTGCCTTTTTGTTTGTACTGCTTCTCATTGTGTTAACATTAACTACAGCTTCTCTGCAATTACACCCTTGTCTTTAATCATATTCTGATGGCTCACTGACTAAAAGAAAAGTATATTTTAGTGTAAGAAAGTAGCCTCAGCAAGGCAAGGGCTAATCAGATTTGACAACCTGGCTCGATTGTTCTGCTTTCTGTATTTCAACTTCATGTCTCTTGACCCTTTTGTATAAAGCTGCAATATCCCCTTTTATTGTTCTTTCATATAGAATGTATTTTCAAATGTAAAGTCTCTCTCCCTTTCTCTTCTCTCTCTCTCTCTCTCTCTCTCTCTCTCTTTGTCTCTCTGAGTAGGTTGCATAAGCATTTGCCGTTGCCAAGGAAAGAAAACTGCAGCTTTAACTTGCTGGTAATGGCAAAGGATTTTATTAGAGTTTGTGTTAAAAAATAAGGGAAAATTCTTAACTTTATCCTCCAAAGTCGAACTTTGGGTTTCTTCTTAACAGCATAAAGTGACAGTATCTTTTTTCCTGATGTCATGAAACATGTCTTTTATTCTGAACAGCTTGCCTGTTAATTACACTGGGGAAAATACTTCCCTTACTGAAAAGATTGCCTTTAAAATGAGAAACTTTCCTCCTCCTGCCCCTACCTGAACTCCAAGTTCTGTTCTCTCAGTAAACGTGTATTTTTATGCTAATCAATGCTAATTGGGCTTACACGTGGGTACTGAGGGCAGAATGAAATCCCACAGTGTATGTAGGGTATGTTCTTACCATCATGTTATATCCAATTGGCATTTCATAGCAGGAGGTTTCTGTTTGACCAGTAGTGCAGACAGTGACCAATTCAGTGAACTGAGTACTGTAAGCTGTTGGAAAAAAATGTGTTTGACAATTATGTGGCAATATTTATAATATTTTAGGACACATAGTATTGGACAAATAATATTTAACAGCCTATGCAGCTGGTCCAACAGGGTAGAAAGAAACAAACAGGGGTCCATAGGAGGTGGCATGGGAGAAGAGGAATCATTCCCTCCTGCAGGTGCAAGGAGAGCCCCTGGGTTTTCTGGGGTGAGTCACACACAGCACAGCCATAACTAGGGAGGCAGCTTCAACCTTCCCCTGGGTATCTACCAACCAGCAGATAAAAACACTGCAAACATGGGGAAAGGAACATCCTGCAAAGTGCTGAACTCATGTTTTTCCTCATTGAATTTCCTGAGCAGAGTCAGGGAAGTAGATTGGGACTTTCTGAGTTAGTCTTTTCCAAAACTGCTTTTGTAGAAGAGCAATGAAATATCCTGTCCAAGATTAGGATTAAAGAAGGGCTAATTCAACCTTGAATTACATGAAGCTACAGAATCCACTCCTATTTAGCAACTATATAGTTTGAAGCATATAGTTTCACCAATATGAACCATAAAACAGAAAAATACGTAGAAAAATCCACCAATGACCTAGAAATTGAAAGAAAGGGAGAAAGATTGGAGGTAAAAATTGGGGTTTGAAGTTGAAAATATTTTAAAGGAAGACCCAATAAAAAAATCAATGGACAGTTGCTACTTCAAAGGAGTCCTAAAGGCAAAGACTATCAGGAAAATTTAAACACCCATTTCAGGTCATCATGCCTTAGATGCCTAAACTGGAAGAGTTACCTCCCCAGCCTCACAACCCTGGGTACTCCACCAGGTGAGACAGTGCAGCTAAGGCCTGAAATTTTTGCCTAGAAGTTAGTCCATGTGATGTCCCAAGTGATAAACTCACTTTGTCTGAAGTAGAATTTTCATTTGTTTCTAACACTGTAATTTGACTGTAATGCTATTGCAGCAGCTACTTAGTTAACCCAAAGAAAAAGGATTTTTCAAAACTATTTTCAGCACACCATCACTGTGTGAGTCAGGGTCTGTTCTCCATAGCTGAAAAAACTTCTAGTCCACTAAACTTGACTTAGAGTTACATCCTTATATTGCCTTGAAGAGAAAATCCCATTGGGGAGCCCAAGCCCAAAACCTTTTGAAATATTCCCACTGATTTCAATAGATTCTGGACCAGCTCTTGGTCTTGATCTATTTGAACAGAAATGCTGGTAGTTGGTGGGTTTTTTCCTTCTTTTAACATACTGAGAATAGTGAACATAAAAAGAAATACATCTCCTTTGTGGTCTTCAGACCTTACTATGATAATGAGGATCTAGCACTGAAGATTTGATTTCTCTGAAGGTAATAGAATGAAAGTTGCCCTTCAATAAAGGAAAAATGATACTGCAACTTTACATTGAAAAGTATCTTGCACTGATAAATATATTTAAAAAATTATATGTTTATAAAGTTATTAATTTGTAAAGGCAGTGTTACAAATTGTTCAGTTTATATTGTTTTAGATTGTTTCATAATTTTTAAAGTGTAAAATAACATATTTTTTTCTTTATTGAAAAACTATAAAAATCTTCTGTAGTAAAATGATTTCATTTTACTGGTATATTATTGCTTCATGTTTTGTACCATCATAAAACTTTGTGCAAATTTTTTTTACAGAAATTTTTATTTTCTATGACAATATGACACTTGTAAATTGTTGTTTCAAAATGAACAGCGAAGCCTTAACTTTAAATGACATTTGTATTCTCAGACACTGAGTAGCATAAAAAAAAAAAAACACATAGAACTGAACTGTAACTTAAATTTCCAAACTATGACTACTACATTCCAAAGAAACAGTTGAATTAAACATTTTCATAAAATATCCCATAGCTGATGTATTTTATTATACTAAAATGGATTGGTATTATTAAATGGCTGATTTTCTTTAGCAACTTGCAACAAGCACAATGTTTTCATCACAATTACATTTCTTGGTAGGCAACTCCAAGAGACACCTTGGTGGGTTCGTTCATGCTTTAGGATAGAGGGATTCACCTCTGTCTGCCCAGTTCTCTCTCCTTACTGGAATAC